GTGCTCACCAACCACTCTCTAAGGTAGAAGTATCCTCAGCCACTCAGCCCTGGATTTGCATTTTGAAGGAACATTATACGGGATGCAGAAGAAGAGTAGTGAACCACTGGCTGGATGATGACTTTAGGTTTGGTTTATTTTTACATTCAGGCACAAGGCAAGATCCAGATCCAGCTGCCTCAGCATTTAGTAGTGTTCAGCTCTGGGGTCAGTGTTGGCTCTCTATTATGAAAGTGGGCTCAGAGTGTGTTTTGATGTACTTCCTACAATTCGTACAGATTATTAGGTATGAGAAAAGAGAAAAGAACTGTTATGATTACAACATATAATAAGCAATAGGGGGTGCTTTGTTGTATATCTCTGTCTGCTGAGGGTGGTGTTTAGCACATTTCTGCGTTTAGGCCAACAAATTTCTCTTAGAGGTAAAAAAGCATTGTATAGTGATTAAAGACACTGACAACTCCCAAAAAATGGACAGTTAATATCAAGTTTAGGCTCTCATTTAAGAGATTTTGCAGAGAAGAATGTTACTTAAAACTAACTGCTGTTGACCATTGGAGAAATGAGGAAAGATACTATAATCTTATGCAATTCCAGTTTTGGTCTGTTCCCTTGACCTGGATTAACCTTTTTCCTTTTATCTGTATTTTAATTCCAAACACCTCGCTTAAATGCAACTGTATCCAGGTCTCTGCTAAAAGCTTTAATGAGCAACACTAAGGTCAGCAGAAATGTTTGAACTTTATTATTATTTCATACAAATGCTGTAGACATCCTTGAATCTTCAATAGTTATTAGTTATTTTGGTCTCCAGTGAGATGTTCTGCATCTGGCTGTATTAGTTTATTGATGTCTTTTTTAAATGGTTGTCTTTCAAGAGCCATTTAAAATACATGTTGCTTCTTCTTAAATTACTTACGGGCACACACACTGAAAAAAGGCTGCACAGAACTGGGCCCAACTTTCTTTTGTAAATAAGAAGTAAACAGCAAAATGGTCTTTTTAATCTTAGTGTAAATATTTTTATTTTTTTCTCTAGTGAAGAAATTATAAATTTATACATAGCACAATTCCACTACTTTTACTACATTATGATTAACTACTGTTAGTAGACTAATGAAATCTCAACCATGCATTCTTTCCATTTATTACATCACAATCAAATGTATTATTTTGTGCAATCAATATTAACAAAGATTATGTCCATTTAAGTGTGCACAGTGTTTTATAGACAGAATGTAGTACATAAAGCTTGTTGTCTTTAATCAATAGAGATCCCAGAGCATCTAAGTATTTTATAAATTATTAAGTATTCTTTTCATTTTTTGCATCCTACTAATACCCAGGGAACTTTTTACTGGACCAGGATTCCAGCTGTTCTGTTTCCAGTATCTGCTCACATAAAAGTCAGTAATTCTCTTACATGGTGTTTTTTTACTTTCTTTTATAACCAATCCAAATTGGTTTGGATAAAGACCACATGGGTGAGGTCAATATTGCAACATGGACTGAAAACTGGCTGTCAGAAAGGATCCTAAAATCCACAGTGAGCATACAGTGGGGGTCAGGCTGATAGGGACACATTAGGGGAAACACGGACAAGACTATCTGTGAACTGAAACTCCAACAATGTATGTGGTATAAAACTGGATACTTGGAAAGGCAACAGTGTCATGCAGCAGTGTGTGCAAACAAAAGCCCTTCTAGGACTCATATGTTCTTAAAATTATTCTTGGAGATTATATCCTAACTTCTTACCTGGAAAACAGGCAGCTGCCAGACTGCGTCTTGATCTAGGAAGTGTAGATATTCCTTCTAGGCTTTGGGCTAGCTTCAGCTTGCACCTAATGTAATGGAAGAGACATAACCATCCTCTCCAAAGAGAAAGTGGGCAAGGAGAAGAAAGCATTTTGGTTGTAACACCTACAAGTGTTAACCTTGAGGAGAAAGAGGTGATAGTGGCCACAGACCCACTGCAAAAGGACTTCTGCATCTCTATATATGATTATTGCAGCAGTTGCCTCAAAAGTCAAGTTCCAAAGTCTTGGAGTTGCAGGATATTAAGGATCCCTAGGTCTGGTTAGAAGGGACTAAGGCTTTCCATAGGTCTGAACCTAGTCCACCTCGGTACTGAGGAGTGCCGGAAAGTTAATCCCATGATGAATGGTCTTCACAAAGTTAGCTGGTTCTGGTCCACATCAAAACTGGCAATAAACAGCAGTCTCAATAAAAGATCAGAGAAACATAAGCCAAATTAGGCTATCACCCTTTCAGATTGTGTTTGGGGTGCATTCCTGGGCTCAGGGGGAGGCTTCTAATGCCACTAACTTCTTTCCTTTTCACATGCACAGAGATAAAGAAGGCTAGTTATCAGAGAGTGAAGAAATAACACCAAGTGTGTTCTGAAGACTAATGGAACTCTGTAGGCAACACCCTGAAATAACATGAGATAAAATTACTCTCAATATGACAAAAACATGATATGTATTGAGAAGGCATAGGCTTCCCCTAATTAATCCCATTCTAAATAACTTCTCACTTTTTTCAGAGAATTTTTTTTTTGGGGAGGGGTGAGTGGAGGGAAGGTTTTAATTCTGAAAGAGATTGGTAAGATGAAAAATTTTTGCCTGAACAGATAAACCTCCGGAAAGCTGCAAGTGACTAAAAAAGGGATGTAAAAGTCGATGTGTCATGCAGTTCTATGACTAGGAACCTTTGCATCCCCTGTCTCCCTTATGAATGAGCATGAATCATTCCTCACTTGCTTACAATGAAAATACAGCTTTAGGGGATTGAAATGCTAATTTCAATAAAGTCAAGATTTACTGAACTAAACAAAGTCACTTTGCTTTTTAAAATGGCCCATGGTTTTCTCACTTTGGACTTGTCAAGCTTTTCTCGCAATATGTTTCTAAATTCCTCTTTTACATCTTAATATAATACAGGATAATTTCATTTTTCAAAGTCAGAGTAGACTAGTAGTATTTAAGATCAATACTAAGTTTGTTACATACACAGAAATCCTAATAATTTTAAAAAGCATTTTTAATGAAGAAAGTTTAGCCAAAAAGACTGAGCAACCTTCAGGATTCAACTATTTTACTTTAAGTGACCTGCATGTAAAGACTGAAAAGAACTTCTTGGCAACCAATTTGAACACATATTCTGAAGCCACAGATAATATTTCCGGATGAATAAGTAGCAGCGTTCCTAAGAGTCACTTAAATGTGAGCAAAAAGGATTATATGGATTTTATTGCATTATGGAAGATATAAATAAAATATAAATGAAAACTTACCGTATTCAAGGTGGGATCTACGTGCAAGCTGCAGCAGATAATCCTCATTATTATAGATTCTCTGGGTGGAGAATGAGAAACCCATGATACCTGCACATGCTGCACCAACACATTATAGACTCTGAGTGTGTAAAACCAGTGGAGCTTTCAACTTACCTGACATGGGTCAACTGAAACCAGAACTGTGCACTCTCTTCTCTTAAAACAAGAGGGACACCTGAGACTTTTGTCTGGCTTTTTGGGTTTTTTTTAATTTATTTTATAAATCAATACCTTTATAAACATACAAATAAACCAAATATATTATATTTGTATTGAAATATAATTTCAAGTTTTTACACTAAAGATTATTTTGAGTTTAGAGCTGAGTTTAGGAAACATTTTAAACTCAAATACTCTAATTACAAATTTTTTTTATGGTTTCCCTATCTTACTCTGTAAAGAATACTATCAAATTTAAAATTAGATCCTTGGAAGGAAAGCGAAGTAAACAAAAAAAGCTCAGGATAGAATAGCAAACTAATTTTTAAGGAGTCTGAAACATCTTTATTCAGGCAAGATTCAAAGTTACAAATTTTTATTTCTTTTAACTGGGGAAACTTCCAATGAAATGTTGACTGTCATTCGACACAACACTCGCATTTTAAGCACACAAACATACTTCACCAGAGAAACTTGAAGTGCAGGGATCAAAGTCTTTTTACTGGGTAGCTCTCATGGGGAAAAAATGCATTTTTGAACTGAAGTCCTTAGACCTGGACTCTCTTCACATTAAAATACAGAAGACCAGTCACTGAAAGACCAGAGAATCCAAACTAGATGCTTAGAACAATGTTAGCAATATTAAACAATACCGAACTTAACATCAAATCTACCAAATCCTAATGATTCAACACAGTTGTTGCCTGCTCCTGTACACAGTTTAGTATGCCAACACCTCTCAACTATTTCTCTCTCTGTGGCAGTACCCTTGCCACCATTCACACAAGAGATGGAGTCTTCACTGATAATAGTTCCAACTAAGCTTCGGAAATTCGTATTTTACAAGTTTGTTCTGAATCCAGAATTGATGTGGTTAGAAAACAGACTCAATTATTCAAAACCACCAGCAAAAATCACTTTAGAAGTTAAATAAGTGACTACCCTCTAAAAACCAGCATTTTAATTTTTGTAACTCTGGCAAGTTGGACTCAGTGTTCTTACAGTTTCACCAACCTAAAACAAAACTGACTTCACAAAGTCACTCCACTGTGGAACTGTTTTGAATAAGAGGTAAGAGCCTTTCAATATTCTTTCCCATATTGGCCTACAGAGATAGTAAAAAACAAAAAAATGACAACATTCCACACCTTTCTGGTAGGATTCAAAAAGAACCCAGAAAAGCAGAATAGTAAATACACAAATTAGTAGCATTTGCCACTATTATGCATCTTATGACTTACAAGAAACATTAGTGGTGGGCACTGTAGCAGAGTTTAAAGGTTACAACAGCAGGCTTCAGAAACAGAGGACTGAGAGATCCCCTACAAATAATAAAATCATTATTAGTAGTTTAGCTGATGTCCAGGTATCTTCCATAACATTCTGAAAACGGCCTCAGGAAGTCAAGACAAGTTGGTGAAAATCACTTGATATCACAGAATCACAGAATGTTCTGAGTTGGAACAGACCCACAAGGATCATCAAGTTCAACTCAAGTGCAAGACCCATACAGGGATTGAACCCACAACCTTGGTGTTATCAGCACCATGCTCTCACCAACCAAGATAATGTCACAATAAACAACTGACCTCATCTCTGCATACAACAGAGCTTTACAAGAGAGTAAATAACCTGATAGGTGTTAGGAATCCAGTTACAAGAAAAATTGGTTCAGTTTTCCAACTGTTTCCTCAGATTTAACAGGCAGCACAAATCAGTGAAGTCAAACCAAACTGAGGTGGCTTTTTTTTGTTTTTGTCCCACTCCTCCTGCTCTTTTGGAACAGAAATTGGCTGGACTTCTGTCCTCATACTGAGTCCTATATAATGGACAAGGTTTTGGTGCCAGGCACACCTCTGTAAGACAAGGACAGCTCCAGCACATGCCTCTCCACAGGGCTGAAAGCAGACACAAACCCACTTCCTCAGCCCAGAAATAATCCTGATATGCTCTGAAGGACCAGTATAGACTGGGACAAAAAAACAGAGGAATCACCTTTCCCCTCAAATGCTGCTCATCATTAATAACATGTGCCTGCAAACCATCCTTCAATACACAAAACCTGAGAAAAGCAAGATCCTATTTGGTACTTGCTAGACACAAGGACATCTCAGGTGAAATCCAAGAAGTTACACTGATCAGTCAGCAGCACTGGGGAGAGGCATATAGTGTCCATAAAAAAATATTTTAATAGTAAAATCCATTTTGAACTAATTTTTCTGCATTATCCTCCATTCCTGTTTCTCTGCAGCTGTCCTTGTTTCCCATTTTCTAAGCAGTTTCTAGACTCTGTGTGTGTAAAGATCACCACTTGCAACAAGCTCCCTTAGAAAATACTTATCACTGACAAATCACCCACTTGGGTATCTTCCTCTCAGTGACCTTTTAGCAGGCAGTTAATGGAGTTAGCAGCAGTGATACTTATAGAGTACTCATTGACAACACGTTGCTCACAGTAATTTTTCCAAGCAGAGATGACAGGGAAGGAGTGGCAAGGACTTCTCTGTTTTGTTCTGAATAATGCTGGGTTTTTTCTGAAGCAGATTTTGATGCAAAAGTGAGTGTTGCTTCAGTGTATGTGAGTTCTCATCCTTTGCTGACTTCTTCCTTTTCCCATTCAAATGCAGGCTGCTTCTAGTCTGGCTGCATCAGCAAGCTGGCTGGGGCAAGATTGCAAGGCTCCCTTACTGGCAGGGGATTGGGATGGATGCTCCTGGGAGCCTGGGGAGAGCCCTTCACCGCTCCCATGGACTGAGGTGATTTCTCACCAATAGGATCCTCTTTTCTGTGGCCTTGTTCTTTCTCCTCTTCTGCCAAAGTCTCTGCTGCTTTGTCATATGTTACAGGCTGTTCTTCCTCTGGAGAAAACAGATATGTATTACGGAAAGCCATGTGAAAAGATTCACAACAGCTGAGCTAAAAGAAATGTAGTGGCACCTTTGAGAGAAGAAAGCTATGAAAGAATGTACAGAATCAGGTTCAATACCAATGCATGACAGAAGAACAAAAAAGCAGGCAAATTCAAGAACTCACTTCAGATTTTAAGAAATTACTTGTCCTAGACTAGATTCATAGCTTTCTCTTCTAATACCTATAGAAAGACATGCCAAGACTACCTGCCTGGCAAAATTAAAGTCTCTGCTTCAAAGTCAAAAGATCTTAGAATTATTCACTGCCATGGCATAAGAACTTTTTTTAACATGTTAAAAAAAATACCAGATTATTTCCTGATCTTGTTGTCTAAGAGGGTAGAACCACTTCAGAGAAAATTTTCAGGAAAAAATCAGACACCTGTCATAGGAAATTTCTGTTCCAATACCTGCATCTGATAAAGCTGTAAGTGAAAACAGTCTCCTAATGGGAAACATCAGTCTTCCTTTGCTGGACAGTAAGGTTCTACACATGTTCCCAATATTAGTGCATCTAAGTAAATGTGAGGCACATTTTCTACTGATGAATGAAGTGACTACTCAATGTATGTCTAAGGATAGGACTGGCAATTCTGAAAATCTTGCAAGATGCCTGGGTGTTTGTATTCTCAAACATTTGTATTTGCATATTTCAAAGTGGCTTCTCTAGTAACTTCTGCAATTAGGAAGTATACATGGCAAATAAAACAACAAATAAAACAAATGTCTAAGGGTATTAGTTCTCACCATCTGAGCAACTAAGAGATCCAGTTGCCATCTGGAAGGCAGCATTTCCTAAAACTCAGAGTGGTTCAACTGGTAATTTGAGGGCCATGGAAGCCCATTCTGTGTTTCTGCGCCACTTTTGGACCAGTGATGAGAGGCACATCTCCTCCATTCATCTCATGTTTGTTTAAGCACCAAACACCCCCCAGGCAGTCAAACACCTTGCTTAACAAAAAAACAGAACTGCAGTTGCTGCCATGGGGTGAAACCTGGACTCCTCACACCTTTCCAGTTATCTTGCCTGAACAAATAAGGACTGCCAAAGTGTACAGTTCCATGGATATCCATTCCCCAACAGTATGATGGGCATAACTTCACTTGCAAAGCTGTGAAGATCTATATTAATGCAAACATCTGATATTATTCTATCAGAAGAAGCCTCTAGCTTGTTCTGTGTGAAAGCACAGTTGTAGTGTAGTTTCTCATGACTAATCTGCAAAATAAAGGACTGAATGGTCTCTTCACATCAATACAAACATGGATTCTGCCAGAAATAAAATCTGGATTTCTCAGTTTCCTCTAGCAGCCTGCCCCTGCTGGTACAAGGTGAGGAGAGATCTAATAAGGAAGAACATCCTACTCACCAGATTCTGAAGGACAGGCAGGATGAGGATCTGCTGTCTCACACTCAATTAGATCAACTGCTTTAGTCTCCAGAGAACTGTTACCCTCCTTAAAAACTGCAAACTGCAAATACATACAATATGCACACAATATGCAGAGCCCGAATTAATAAAAAATGAATTGGTTTTCTGAAACCCAAGAGGCAAACTAAAAGGGCCACACACACCAACCACAGAACAGGGGAAAAAGGTCATCCTGGCTTCTGGGATGACCCTTCCCCTGCCAGAAATTAAACATTTGAGTTGATGACAGACCCAGTTATTCTTTGGAAAGTGCACAGTCTCAGTCTAGCTAAGAACTACCAACTCTCTTGCCTTGCAAATCAACATTTCCAAAGGCAAGGACAAAAGTTCGTGAAAATCAACTCTCTCCATAGTACTGAGGGCCATTTATAAAGTCTTAAAGATATCTGCAGGAATCCAGACAGCAGGAAACTGTGTCAAACACAGGGAAGGAAGCAAGCTTCCCTTCCTGGCTCTCAGCATCTCCTGCAGGATGCAGTTCCATCATGCCACAGTGACAGTGGAAGTCAGAAAATGAGACCCTCTGGGGGAACATGCTGAAAAGACCAGGGGAAAAACAGAAAAAAACAGGGATAGAGAAAAGAAATGTGAAGCACTATGATGAAATTGCACAGAGGAAAAGATGAAAAACAAGTAAAGGGGAGAGGTTCAGAGAGCAGACAGGGAAGAAGAGAAAACATCTGTAAATAAGGTATTCCAACAAAAGGAATGACAGATTCAGGGGTCCTGGTGGATAACTGGTGGATTTATGTGGATACAATACACATGTAGCAGGTGCACCTATTTAGGCACCAGTTCATTTATGCAAAATCTTCACTCTTACAGCTGCTAACCCACATGTGACCAACCCCCAGCAGAGATTCAGCTAATCACAATTCTGCAAAATATATTTGACTGTGCAAAGCAAAACACTTGGTGGAGGAGAAGTCTCAGAATAGCATCAAAATCCAGGCACATGCAGAAGTTTTCCAAGGCTTACAAATCAGTAGGACTAACCCGGCCTGGCTTATGGAGTTCTAATATGAATGTCAAAAAATATGCAGGCATACTCTCAGCTGAATGTACCCTCAGCTAATTGCAGCCTCTTGCCTGGCAGAAAAGAACTAAAGGGAAAAGTGAATGATGCTTGGACAATTTCTAGGTATAGTTTCAGTATCATGATACCTAACATTTGATGTGTGTGATAGCATAAAATCTTGTTTTCCTCTACATCAACCTAGACAGGCAAGAACTCTCTCTCATCAGCCTCACAAATGAGCAGTGGCAGTGAGACCAACCAAAGGAGTGAAATTCATGAGTTCCTTACAGTTGCTGCATACACAAGATACAGTCCCAATATGAAGTCTTTTGTTAAGATCATTAATGTTGTGTAGATCAATAGTACCCAAAAACCTTAAAAGTTGAGCAGCTATAGCTTTCTGTTCCTGACCTTTTTTTTACATAAAGCTCCCCAATAACATATTTGAAGTGAATACTACAAATGGAAAACTTCCCACAGCTTTTTGGCAGCTCTAGATGTTCTAACCTGAGTGCATGCATGCATGAAACCCTGGTGAACTTAACAATCAATGGCTACATCAGCACAAAGAAAATCACATGCATGAAACCACAGCAATCCATTACTGAGTAAGCACCAGTGATTAGCAAAGGGTCAGTGATTTCCTCTTCAGCAAGCCATTGCAATAAATTACTCTATCAATGTATTCAATGTCTCTTGGTGCATAGTGAAATGCAACACAGATGTATAAGAGATGTGAAAGCTTGGTTTTTCTTCGTTGATTCAGTCCATTGCTTAGTTGTAACTAAACAACGAAACTTAGTTGTTTAGTTACCTCATATTCAGCAAAAATGTCACTGGTGGCCAGCATTAACTGCAGGGTCAGCAGAAGGTGGGGACAGAGCAGGCCTCCTAGAGCACTGCTCCCAGGCAGTGAACTGTTCTCACTCACAACTAATGTTTCTGCTTTTCTCAAACTCACTTATTTTGTAAACTGTGGATTTTACTTCTGGTGTGAACAAATTATGGCTGTCCAATACCTGAAGGAAAGGTGCTGATAATAAAACATACATAAGAGTATGCAGTTGACCAGCTAAGGAACAATATGCCATAACCAGGGTCAAGTCAATTCAGTACTACCAATGTATGTTTGACAGCGTGATTCAGTGGCTACCCACTCACAAATCCTGCCAGACACTCTGGCTAAATCATTTGTGAGGCCATTCTAAGAGTCTC